ATTCCTTGTCCGCGAGTGGTGCCGTAACTGATTCTTATGTAGCACACCCTCACAGTGTCAGAGATGTTTTGGTAGTTCTGCATCATATGTTGAAGACTAACAAGCTCGACCTTTCAAAAGTATATGAAGATGCAATTCATGACTTTCTCCGGTTTGTGCAAGATAACTACGAAAGGTCGGGGGCATTGGAGCTGTGCAAGCAAATAGTAAAGGATTTACCGTTTCACAAAACAATGAGTGGACAGTTTGTCAGTTTGATCGATCAGTATTATTCGTACGCCCTCATCCCTTCTTGGGTTCCAACACAACAGCTCGATGAGCTTCAAGAGCGAGCTAAATGTACTTTTCTCAACTCTGATGCTTTACCTGCACTTGAGAAACTCTATAAAGACCTAGATGTTAGAGCTGGTCAAAACGTCGCCCAATTTTACACGGAGTTTGTTTTCAGACATTTTAGCATGTTTACCAGAGAAAGCCAAATGAAGCATTTAATATACATCCGAGATGAAGTCTACCCGTCCTTGCCTCGAGGTATCGCAATTGAAAAGGACATATTCTTGAAGAGTATGGCACAAACTCCCTGTATTCCTGACCAAGATGGCCATCTTCATAAAGCATTTGACTTCCTCCACCCGAACAACGAGGTATTCAAAGTAATGTATGAAGGTGATAACAGTAAATTTCCTCCTTCACCATTCAACAAGAAAGACTGGTCAGGTCTGCTTAAAGATATTGGACTGCGAGTTGATATTACACCTCAATTATTCCTGCAATTTTGTACAACAGTTGCCGAAGATGGAAGATATTTCGAAAGGAACTCACAAAGCCACAAGAAATCTGAAGTATTAGTAGAGTATCTATTTTCCAAGAAATCCTTGAAAGGAGAAAAATGTCTTTCCCAGGTATCGCAAATAAAGTTTATTGCTCCAGCTAGAGTGGAAGAACAACTAACCTCCATATACGATCAGTATCGTTGTTCCAAAAACGGCTACCCACCTTTCATGAAATTCAGTAATGCAGTACCGTGGCGTTTCAGATTTATAACTTGGACAACCGCTCCCATTCTCCCAATCTGGGCACAACCCAACAATATGGATGAATTTGAAAGTCTTCATATTGCCTGCTCCGGACCAACGTATACCGATGTTCTTGACCATTTAACAAACGTAGTCACATGCAATCCTGACACAGTTGACAGTGTTTACTTGCATAAAATGATCACAAAACCCATTTACCAATTTTTATGGGAGGCTATGCAATGCTCCGATGGTAGTCCAAATAACGGATGCAGCGATATTTGTATGGATATTGGCATTCGTCTAGAGAATGTTGCGTGTATATTTTTACAAGAAGATAAAACTTTTGTGAGAGCAGAACAACTGGTGTTCAGACTTTCTGAAAACAGCCCTTTGAAACCGTTCCTCTATCCTGTACCCCGGGAATTCGGAGAGTTGGAGCATTTTCTCAAACGACTTGGCGCAACTGAGAAGCCAACACCGTTACAGATTGCTTACGTTCTTAATTCTATACACAATGAAGTCGAAGATGTGGTGCTATCTACTGAAATGGAGGAAAAAGTCATGTATGCTATGCGTGTGCTATTTGGATTACTTTGTAAGAGCGAAAGCGCTGATGAAATAGATCAATTGTATTTACCAAGTCAAGATAAACACCTTGTCAAATCTTACGAAATGGTTTGTAATGTTTCGTCACGTAATACGGGCTTCACTGGAAGGCTTCAACGTCCAATGCTTCTGCGATTTGAAGAGTGCGGACTTAAAGGAGCAGCTGATGATTATATCGATGCTTTACCAGAGCATTTACGTCCTGTAAAGTTTGATGAACTAGTCCGAGAAGAAGTTGATTCTGAGTGCAAGGTTTCCGTTTGTCCCAAGGCTCGACATGATTCCATATGCACATTTCAAGAACAATTTGAGAATCTATTGCGATCTGATGAGTTCCAGGTAGGGCTTAAACGATTACTTGTGGAAGATCGCCAAGATCCTCAAAAATTTGAGCAAAGAATAAAGAAACTGCAGACAGATGTTAAAACTAAGTGCACAGGATACGAAAACATAAAGATCCATGTTATTCATCGTAGTACCGAAGAAGTTATAGCTAATTTTGAAGAAAGTTGTTATGCAGTACAGGAAGAAAACACATGGTCATTGTACATGCAACACATATTTAGAGATGACAAAATTTTGGTTTTAGCCACTACTTGTGTTAACAAAATCCTAGGGGATTGCATACAGAAAGAAAAGGGGCTGATTGCAATGTTAAACTGTTCTTCTCCAAGTGAAATTGCAAGTGTGTTGAATAAGCTTAATATCACTCAGAGTATTTCTAAAACTGATGATGATTCCACGGATCTTGACGACGAATTGATGGAGTGGGATAGTGGTGAAGAACCTGTGAGAAGAGCACGTGATGGATTTGATGGAGCCGGCGGTGGAAGTCACGGGACCAGCAGGGGTAAGAGTGGTGATGCAAGTTTTAATGATGATGGATACAGCGTTGGTGCAAGTTTTACTGATGGTGGATACGGCATTGGTTATCGTGGTGGTGGTGGATGTAGTGGTAGTGGTGGGCATTCAAGGTAGGGATATCCACTTTAATTATTTGCTAGGTTATAATACAGCTTCAGAACTGAAGTGAACAGTGGAACAGTGGAAGTATTGCTCGCACAATATATGTGCGTTTCACTTCCGTGACGGGGATTTGATGTCTTCCCCTTCAACTGTACTAAACACCACGTTTTCTCTGTGTAATCTGGTATAGTTTAAAACTTTAGAGCTATCCAGTATGAATAAAGTTAGTTTAGCTTACCTTAGTGTAGTTGAATTTATTTAGTTTAGTCCAGTTTAGAATTCAGATGGAAAGAAGGAATGGGGTAAAGGTCCGGATTAAGATTAAGTGGGGTGTTAGGATTATTAGAGTAAGAGTAGGGATTAAGTTAGGATAAAGATTAGGATTGACAGGATTACGTGTATGAAGCAGCTGTATTTAAATTGTGGTAATTTGTCTTTAAAATGTATGTTTTTCTAAATAAAAACATTTCAGGATTAAAGATGAAGTTGAAGATGAAAGATTTTACCCAAAGAACCGCAAGGAAGCAAATCGCTGGCTACAACAATCCAAGAGTGATCTGGAAAGTGCAAGGTGGTTACTTCGATCTGGTCCGCCTTTCAGTGCTCATGCATGTTTCCAGAGCCACCAAGTCGTGGAGAAATGCTTAAAAGCGATGTTATTTTACGGTTGTGGTATCTCTGGTGGATTGCTTGGTTCTCACGAAGTGCTAGAACTAGCTTCCAAGCTAAGAGAAGAAATAAGAATACCTGAGGAAAAAGACATGCAATCTGTGAGGAGAGTTGCAAAGTATTACCTATCTACTCGGTATCCCAACCGCCAACCATTTAATGTCGTGCCAGCTGAAGCTTTCAGCAAGAATGAAGCAGAAATGGCGGTTGATGCAGCCTCGAAAGTGATGAAACTTGTTGATAAATACTGTTTGGAAGCACAATAAATGTTTGAATGGTTTCGTACTCTTAAAGGCTGGTTTCCATGTAGTCTTAACGGTCGTAAAGATTGAGTCATAATCTTTCTCAACAGCCGAAATACAGCAGCTTAGAACTAAAAATAGGCAGAGTGATTATTAAAGGAGAATACTTATGATTTATATGTGGTTTGCAGATAAAAACTATTATAATCTGGCCGTTGAGAAAGATCGTGTCTCTATCTTTACGTCTGTTACGGCCATATGGAAATCTTGCTTAACTGACAAGGGACAAAATCTTTTAACTGACAAACGATGATCGAATCAACATGATCTTATGGACATCAGTTTGACATAGTAAAAGTACGTTTAAACGCTGCGATTTAAGAACTAACATTTAAGATTCTTTATGGTCCAATTATTATGAGGTGTTTATATGAGCTCTGCATTAAGGACAACACTCCGCCATATAATTGAATTCCCTTGAAAAATGTTTTCGTTAATATATGAAAGGGGGCCAGCTCCCTAAGGCGAGATTTCGCCTTTGACTTCCCCGAGATGTGGCGTAGTAGTAGAGCTGGAAATTTCTACATAAATGCGACAGGAAGGGCTGGCCATCCAAGTAGAGCTGAGCAAGAGACCCAACAACAGCAATTGTTTGTTGGTTATTATTTGAAAATCTGCTCCACAAAATATGATTTCAGTTAGTCTTTATAAGAAAAGAAATTGATTAGTGGTAAGTTTGCAGAAACGAAACAGTCCTTGCACAACACGATTGATTTTTCACTGAGTGAAAATCATGCGGCTAAAGTTGGTAGTGGTAACTCTTCATTTATAGGGCTCGTGTAAACACTTTCTTTATAAGGGTTATAATTAATAATAATAATTTAATAATTTGTAAAGCGCTTTTTTGCATAGAATGATCAAGAGCGCTGTTATTACAACATCAATATATACTTAATTAATAATTGATGAGTTTTAAGAAGAGTGAATTGGGTGGTAGCACCTAATTTGAATTAGAGACGGGAAACTTGTTACTTGTCCATTAAAACCCGGCGTCTAAACATAAATTTGGGGACGGAATTCTCGATAATTCTAGTTCCAGTTTTTCCTTGTTTAGCAACGCTTTATCCGTCTCATTTATCCGTCTAAAGGCGAATTTAAGATGAGATTCTTAGACGGAAAATTTGGCACGGAAAACTCGTCGTAGATGGCTAGTTTACCGTCTCTGATGTGAATTCGTATATTATGTTTCCAAGAATTAGAGGTAGGATTACAGTAATTTTCATGGAAAAGATTGGAAACTTTGGAACTGCAAAGAAATAAAAAATCTCGTGCTTCAAAATGGGTTGAAAATCATGGGATTGATTCTAATTCGATTGTATTTGTAATTAGATTTAATTAATAATTAATTATAGGGAAAATAAAATGATCAGAATTTATATTTTGTAACTTTACTAACTTGAAGTTTATAACTTGAAGTAACACGACAGTCTCCCGCTGACCGTGGTAGTGCATGTTCATCTGACCAAATCTCGAAATTTTGCAAAACGATTCAAAACACAAATTTATGGCTGTGAAAAACGTCTTTTTAACATAGAATGAAGACTCGTAGAACTCATTATAGTGGATAAGGAAGGTAAATAAATACCGTACTAGATAAATATCCGTTTAAACTGTAATTTTTACAGCTTAAAGTTGGGTTTAAACGTTTGAAATATGTCTATATGTGGGCAGATGTATGGTCAGATATGCAGGCATATTGGAATCAACCGGCTAGCAAGCGTAGTACCTTTGACACTTTACAGAACTTTAAGCTCTAATATGAGATTTAATACGGGTGAAAAAAACTATTACACAATTTTAAAAGTGACTCCAAATGCGACACAAGACGAGATAAAGCAAGCATATTACAAACTTTCGAAACTCTATCACCCAGATACAAATGAGTCTGAAATGGCACATGATTATTTTACCGCCATTAACGAAGCTTATAACGTACTGGGGAATTTGTCAGACCGACGGAAATACGATCGGGGGTTATCGATAACTTATAACCCTTCGCCAGCAGCAAAGCAAGCGAATAAAGGACAACAGTCGCAACATTTCCACGGCAAAAGGATCGTCTATGATTTTGACGACTGGATGATTAAACATAACCAGGAAGCAATGAAACGACGGAAACGGAATTCCGCCATTAAAGAGCAGTTCGATAAACGGCATGTGACGAATGAAATGGACATATTTAATCGGAATATCATTATTGCAGCCGTTTTGACGCTAATTGGATTGGTGGTATTTAATGGTAAAAAAGTCCATTTGTGAATTTTCTACATCTTGGTAGGAATGGGTCATTCCAGAAAAGATACACACCTCCCCCACAGAGAAAATTTCTGCCATCCGGAGAAGGACGGGGAAGAAAATTTGTTTCTGATAATAATGCATTTATTAGGACATCCGAAGGAGGTAGCCCTGGGGGGTAACTTCCAATTCCTTCTGTGGTGGAGGTATGATTGTTTTCTGAAATGACCCAATAGTACACAGATAATATATATATATATATATATATATATATATATATATATATATGTGAAATATATTTTTCCAAAGTTTGCACCAAATTAACAAATTCATGAATAATTTTGAAATTTGTTTTATATTGGTTACAATGAGATGAACCTGCAACCCTTTTGGCCAGAAGGTATTCATTACAACGTAGGAGACAATAGGGTCATTTACACGAGCGAAAATAAGCCGCAGTCTAAATAAGCAGCAGCTTAAATAAGTCGCGAACAACTCGTATAAACAACGCGTATTGCAAATTGACTGTTTATACGAGTCGTTCGTGACTTATTTAACCCGCGGCTTATTCAGGCTGCGGCTTATTTTCGCTTGTATAAATGGCCCTAATGAATACACCCTAGAGTACAATTAGTGGCTCATACTCAAAGTTATTCAGACCTGCAAATAATTATATTACTTGGAAGGACAAATGTCTGGCCAAGCCAAAAATTGGTAGGACATCAATTTTTTTTTGAAAATTAGCACGATCTATTTTTTGCTTGCTCATGTTAGTCCGTACTGCAATGCATCTAAATTCTAAAACTTAGTATATATCTACCAGTCCTAATGCGTCAGTAAATTATAGTTCAGGTTATACATAACTTTAATTTCTATATGTATGATGTACACGAAGGTGATGCGGATTTATAATTTTTACAGCTTAATGCAGCAAGAAATAGTGGATAAGTGCTGTCTATAATGCTTTCTTGTTGGTTTCATTAATAAAAAATTGTTAAATAAACAATTTTTTGAGATTGGAGATGTGATGTCACATGTCCGGTCATAAAATGCTTTGATCGGACAAAACGTAAAATTCATGAGAAAACTCTCCAACTTGCCAACTCACAAAGCTTAGTTATTTAAAGCTAGTGTATCTTTTCTATGCTTTTGTAGACTTTCTAAAGTAGAAAAACAGTAACTAGACTAAGTTATCCAAATTTGTGAATTGAATAGCAAAAATATAAACAAGCCAACAATAGCCAAATTTGTCTACTGCACCATGATTCCCCGTTGTTCTATTCTATGCTTTTGTAAACTAGAACAATACACCAATTTGGAATCTCCACTGCGCATCCAAATGAAATGATGCGTTCTGTGCAATCTCGTTCCCCGATTTTGCGATCCTCGGGAAGGAACATGAGGCTCTGGGATAATCCGTTGTCGGAAGCCAGGAATCCTGGCTAAGATTGAACTATGCATTCCATTTCAACAGCCAATCAGATTCCTCCCTGAAACGGATAATCCCAGAGCCTCGCGTTCCTTCCTGAGGATCGCAGGCTCGGGGAACGAGATTGCGTTCTGCGTCGCTATAAATTACAGTTGAACTATAACATGTATGTAGCTGAGACTGGAACAATACTTGCATGTTAGAGTAATTTTTTATCTAGGCAAAGAACTTATTAAAATTAGTAAAATTGCAAAAATTTGGTTACGAAATATAATTGTAAAATACGGAAAATATAGCCTTGCGAAGTTTGAGCTGAAAATAGTAACAATTTATATACAGAATTTGCAAATTTTGCAAGATTATATTTTTCAAGGTTCACGGCAACATTTCGCAACCAAATTTTGCAATTTTACTAATTTCATTATGTTCTTTTTAGCTGTGGTGTTTGATTCCCTTCTCTTAGTTACCAGGGTTCCCAATAGAGGCCGGCACCCGGCGATTTTCGCCGTCTATAGCGTAGACAATCACCGGCTATTTCTCCCGATTATAAAACAAAATATTTCCTTACCAAAGAAATGTCAAAGGTTTCAATACTTCTAAATATTTGGATATGACAAAATCTACAAAACTACTCCAAAAATGGCTGGAATTTCCATTTCAGATGGTGTAAATTTCAAAAAATCTTCACGGGAAGACGTCCTCGAACCCTCCTCGGTGAGGTACCTTCGGCACCGCATACCCGCTTACTTCTTTCGAAAAGCCTCCTACTCCAAATTCTATTGAGAACCCTGTTAGTCTAACATCCAGGTGATCTGACGGTGAGCAAAAGGACTGGGACTAGCAACAGAATAGAAATCCAGTTTCGTACTTTTAATCACTTGTCATGCCCTGATTCTTTTGTGAAACTGTTTGAAGCTTTGTGTCTGTATCTTACACAGGGAAATGAATGTCTGGGACAAATTTGAGATAGAAATCTAATACTGTTGATGAGATATTGAATATAAATGTTAAACAAGAAATGGATTTCTATTTTACAACTTGTGCCAGGCCTGTTCCGCGAGATCAAATGGATGCAAGTTGTCTACTGTTCGATCATTATTTATCTTTCTCTTATAGCCCCACTAGACTGCGAGCAGTCCCTCCTTTCCGCGGGTTTATTAGCTTCCCAGGCGTGCCAGGGGAAAGGAGGGACTGCCGAAAACACATCGAGAAGCGAAATACGTCCACTTTTCGCTCTTGTCAAGTTGGGTCCGCCTTTGCATAAACATTACTTATATCCTATGTTTGCGATGTTACTCTGAGTGCATATCCACACCGGACGAGCTTGAAAAATATGCCCGGCCACGGTGGGATTCGAACGTACGACCTTTGGAATACTAGCCCAATGCTCTTCCAACTGAGCTACGCGGTTAGAACACATTGATATCGAAGGAACTAGATACTGTTCCGAAATATCACTTACTCGAACCGTCCTGACCGCGTAGCTCAGTTGGAAGAGCATTGGGCTAGTATTCCAAAGGTCGTAGGTTCGAATCCCACCGTAGCCGGGCATATTTTTCAAGCTCGCCCGGTGTGGGTATGCACTCAGAGTAACATCGCAAACATATTATTCACCTGAGTACACAACACCAACACAGAAAAAAAATTCATATTACTTATATCCAATAGGCAATTCCAGCTTTTAGTTTATGCGTGCAGGGTACGATGGAAAGTAAGGTATCACATTGCTGACTATGCTGAAAAAATAAGAATGGTGGCCGTGTAAACACGGAGTGATAGCTTATACTTGTAAATATTGAAATATTTCGGTTGTTTTGGTAGTTTTTATTGACATTTTTCAGCGTAATCAGTAATATGATACCTTACTTCCCATCATCCCCTGCAGGCATAAACTAAAAGCTGGAATTGCCTATTAAATCTATCCAATAGGAACCGTTCATTTAAGCCTGTCAAAAATTCAAATTGGGTTATAACTAGGGATATGATTTATCGAATGTTGTGAATTCGATGGCAGGAATTCTGTCTGGTGCAGCGGTTGTATTTCCCTTCAAAGTTGTGTTTGAATCTTTGAATTTCTTTCGTCCGAGTCATTCGTGTCTAAAAGTCTCTTCGTGTTCCAACTGTTTCTATCCTTATGTGGACATTTAGTCGGAGATGTGCTTTCTTGCATCATGGCGCTCACACGTTTAGCTCTCTTCTTTCTCATCCTTTCCTTCCCAAGCAACGACTCGTACAACGCATTTCTGAGCACGCGATTCAACCAGTAATAGATGAGCGGATTCACGCACGAATTTAGAAACGTCATCAGTTTCACGACCGCATTGAATATCGGTTTGACGCTCTTGAACGCTGGCATGAAGCAGTGCGGGCACACCATTTGGATAAAGTAATAAAACGTCGAGGGACCCCAGCATAGGACGAAAACGCCGACTACCAAACCCAGCGTGCGGGTTATATCGCGTTCGCGTTTTAGGGTGTTTTTATCTCGCAGTTCCGTTGCGGGCTGCCAATCGTACTGCGGGCTGGTTGGGTTGTTTCCTTTTGCTAACAATTCCAACTTCCGTTTTCGAGAGTATCGTAGCGCAAAGCTGACTGTGTAAATATGACAGAACAACATGATCAAAAATGGAGTGAAGACGTTCATACCGATAACCATTAAACTCCATTCTCGCGTCGGATCGTAAATGCACGGTTCGTCGTCGGTGCCTCTTCGCCAAAAGAACGGCAGGACGGAGACGATTGCGGCGTCGAGCCACGATCCTACCAGGAAAGCGGTCATCTTTCGCTTCGTTAACCATGTCCTAGGAATGAAGTAGTTATGATAGTGTTAATGGTAAATATGACAGCTTTTAGGGAGCTGGAGCAAGCGACGTTTTGACAACACCCACTCCAGCCGAAAGTCATTCGAGCCGTTATAGATGGCGTTAGCAGTTCTTGCTTGAAATCAAGAACGGTAGTCAATGTAGTTTCACGTTCGTGATTTCAAACGTCTCAATCATATTTGACTACCGAATGCTGCTTCTGAATTTTTAATGTTGTTGAAAGTCATAAAAAAGTCAAAAAAATTTTTACCGTTGTCACACATGTCCTTTATTACTCCATGCAGTGATACGAGTTTGATAACTGTTTGTGCAATTTTCTGCAGTCTAAACTTTCGTGTTGTCTGCACATGTACTTTCTTTGGAGACAACATTTGCCTCCTGACAAACCGGAAAATGATCAAGATAGTGACTCTGATTGATTTATTTACATATTGTATTGACATGTGACTGTTCAGTGACATTGCTTTTTAGTCATGAAAATAATGAAAATATTTTTTATTACCCAACCCCCGCCACGGTTCCTTAATATGAGATAACATATCTATGTCCGTTTATAACTAACTTGGCACAAACAACTAAATTGTGCACGCAACCATCTACATACTTTTACATTATAAGCATTAACTGCGTACGTTTTCAAGCAGCACGACTACCGCGACAAATACTTAATAATGTGGAGAGATTTTTAAATCTGTCCCATTCCTCACGAATCAAATCGTTACGTGTTTAATTAAATTAGTTATATTGTCAAGCAAATATCTTTTTCTACGTAAGTTAAAAGATATAGCTTCCCACGCCTTTTCTAAATGAGGTTTAGAACGTTTTAAACACGAGATAATAGGGAGTAACGAGTACGAGATTTGATCGCGTGCGAGGAAGTCGTTCTCGTTTCCGTGCAGATGTTGCTTTTATAGTAGTAAACAAACAACGAGAGAAAAAGTTTCTATAAACTAAATCTCATGCAGGCTAAAATCCCCTACATAGGACTCAGGCATTCAAATTATAACAATATCGTGACGTTCTAAAGTCCACTTTTTTTAGACACCCTGTATACTATAGGGTGTCTCAAAAAAAAAGGGTACCTTTCTCTGGAAGCGAAAGAGGCGCAATCAATTTATTCCTTTAAAACGAATATCTAAATTAGTAATTAATATTAATACTCGTGTATGGGACACACCTACTTTAAATATATTTGTAAATATTTTTATATGGTTTGTGACCTAATGAAAATCAACACCTGTTGATGAGGCTAGCATCTTTAAATAAATTGTACATACATATTCATACATACATACATGTGCCGTCCAGTCGTAGGTTTGAGACCAGTGGGCTTACCTGTGAGTAACCGGTTTGCTAACAGCAATGTATCTTTCGATGCTAATGGCCATCAGGCTCAACACGGACGCATACTCAGTGAAGAAATACGTGAAACGAAACACATCGCACGTGAAACCTTCCCACCATCCCCCGCGAACGTGCTTCTTTGCAATATACGCCGGCATCGCCAGTGTTCCGCACAGAAGATCTGCAATAGCCAGGGAGATCACTGGATAGTAAACTACACGTCGTAGATTTGGTTGCTTGTAGAAAACAAAGCACACAAGACTGTTGCCTACGACTGACAGGACGATGAATACTGCCAATACGATTGTCACGCTCAGTTGAAGTGCATCTTCGTCGATATTCGTGCCGCCGTCGGAACGGAACGTGGTCGATACGATTGTGGCGGCTGTCGAAGTATTGAAATTATCCATGGCTCCTATGTAATACAGACAACAACTACAATCATTTATTAGACCTAAATAGGAACAGTTGGGAAAAATGCAACTATCAGCCCTCTTGCAGGAATACATTAATTACAGAATACAGAATTACATTGCGCCTCACGGCGCCACTGTCCAGGTCCGTGTCCTGGTTGTGGCTTGGTTTAGGGGGCTTCGGTGGCGAAGTGGTTAGCGCACTTGCCTTTCACTTCTAAGGTCGCAGGTTCAAATCTCTAGTCCTCATGTGAAAAGAGTAAAAGTCAACGCTCTGCCGAAAGTCGTGGGTTTTCTCCGCTTACCTCCCACAGGGAAAGTTGACAGGGTGGGTTAGGTAAAAGGGCTCACAGTAATACACTCTTTCGATAATTACGTCACAACTACACTGTTTTCAACTTAGGACCACCTTAAATGGAAAGGATTTCAAGTTTTTTTCTCATGGGCTAAGAAGCAGAACATCCTTCAGAACATGCATGAAAAATAATTCTTTGTTTTGACCAATAAATGTGGAAATAAGCTTTAACACAAAACGTGTTAATGCTTATTTCCATATTTATTGATCAAAATTTTTTTCATGCATATGTTGAAGAAGGATGTTCTGCTTCTCTGTGCATAGCCCATGAGAAAAAACTTGAAATCCTTTCCATTTAAGGTGGTCCTAAGTTGAAAACAGTGTAGTCGTGACGTAATTATCGAAAAATAATTCTTGAAATATTTTATGTGACGAATGTCCGCCATCTTGGGGATATGAATATTACGTCACAAGTGGATATGTATACATATATATCCCACCCACTGCGATGTTTAACGGCTGCAAGGAAGAATACTTGTGATAAGACTTTCTTTCAATATATATGCGTTTAAAAGTGATAGCAAACATAATAACAATGGCAGCTGGGTATCTGATGATCTTGAATAAGACTATGTTTTGATAAGCCTTTAAAGCCAATTTTCCACTTCATCCATGTCGTAACGTACCGTATAGCATTTTCTTATGTGTCGAAGTCATTAGTTCCACACTAGTGCTCGGGAAACAAAGAAAAACGCCTACGTTTCGGTACGATACGATTGAAAATGGAAATCTGGCTTAAAAGCCTTTCAAGAACAATTAATGATACGTCTATAGGCTTCAAACAATCCCCCAAACTTGAGTTATTCAATGGAGCGCGAGCTTTGCTAATTCACCAATCTCATTTTAAAATCAGGGTTCGCTCTTAACCCAATTTTTGCGCGCGGAGCGGAATTCTCTTCGTCTTTTCTAACTGGTTCCACCCGAGAAATCACAAGACGAAGAACAATTCTAGTCTAACGCCAGACCGTGATTATTCTGTGGCCAGACTGTCTGTCTCACGCCAGACGATTTTATTTGTCAAGGGGAGAGCGCTGGCGCTCTATGCATGGGTTAATAAAAACCATGAAAGTTCTAAATTTTCCTTGCGCACTCAAAAGTCTTTATGTACTTTTAATAATCTACATTAGTTCATAAAGATCAGGCTTTTATTTTAATCGCTCAAAATATTTTTCTTAAATTTAGGGCCGTCGTAATTTAGCAATTTGAATGATTTGTTTTATATACAGGCAAATATTCTTGGTTTACCCTACACCTTTGGGAAAAACGCCTTAAAATTTCAACTAATTTACACAATAAAGCATTTATTGCTCCTTCGCAATCGACGTCGTCTTGGACTTGGTTGATTTTCGTGGCAACTAAAAATCTATATTCTTCATTCTTTGTCGTATTGTGCCAGAAATCGTAAACTATCCATGATACAGTAAGATGTTTTCAAAACAAACCAAAAATTGATTAAAGTAACTAAACTATTTCGATGTAAACGGCTGGACAAAACTTTAAAATCAACCAAGATGGCGCCTAATGACACTTAGTGACGTCATGTTCAAGTAAGGAATAGCCAATATATAAGCAGACACAATAACGTAATATATTTCCTATATTTTCGTGTACCTTGTGTTTTTTCCTGTATAATGCATTAATGTTTTTGTGTTTTTTTCCTGTATAATGCATTAGTGTACAGAAGTACATGAATCTATATAATATAAAGATTAAATTTTACTTACGCCTTACAGACCTTTGCTCTTGTGAACTAACTTATCTTTAACCCCCAGACTTTATACTTTAATTATGTTGAAAAGAATGTTCCAATGATTTTAATGGATTTTACTCGACCGACTATAGCATTGTCTCGCGGGTTCTGTGCGCAGACTTATTTTTTTTTATTTAAATTATTCATGAAATGTAATTTACTTTCGCTACAGATGTGATATGCAAATTGAAAGATATTGAATGAGCATTTCATTTATATAAAGATGCAAATTGCACTGACGGTTTTTAGCTTTTAAACTTGGACATATACATCGTCTTATCTTAGATCGATGTTAAGTTAAGTTGTGTATTAATTGATTGGGAGGCGTATTCTAATCAAAACACCGCGCACAAGCGCCAAGGCTAAATGGTAATGCCAATGTCATTGAATGAATTTGCTCTATACGAATAGAGATTGTGAATATATTTTTATTTTCTGTCAAATTTATAGACCTATAAAATATACATATACAGAAAATAATTATATATATTTCTCTTCTTGGCAGCAAAATTCGGAAATAAAAATTTCCTGTATAAGTCAAATATACTTCCTGTGCATGACGTAGCTTTCAGAGAACGTATGATTCAGCCTTATTTTGATTACTGTCCACTGTGGGACACTTGTGGCACATATGCAACTGCTTGACAAACGTCAGAATTTTCAAAATCGTGCGGCAAGAATAATTGCTGGCGAGTTACGAAATTGATTCTGCTGTTGTTCTTGAAACTCTTGGTTGGGAAAATTTAAAAAAGTAGAAGACAGAAGATGAAGTGCATTCTTCTGTATAAAATTCTAAACGATTATACTGCTCCTAACTTGAAAGAGTCATTTATTGGGAGTAGTTTAACGCAAGCGAACTATAACTTAAGAAATAGCTACTATACTGCATGATTTAGCTCTCCCAAAACCGAGAAGGGAATTCCTAAAAAAAGTTTTAAATACAGCGGGGCAAAGCTTTGGAATAGCCTTTCTCGGGAAGCAAAAGAGGCACGATCAATCCATATTTTCAAACAAAATATTAATCTTTGATTCTGTTACTAATGTTAATGTATGGGTCACACCTCCTGTATTCAGCATGCACTCTTGTAAATAGTTTTTCTTTGTTTCTACGTATTTTCTTGTAAATACTTTGCAAATAAATTGACGACGCCCCTCATAAAAACCAACGTTATGTTGATGAGGCTAGCGTATTGAAATAAATTTTTACGATACGATACAATGGTACAAGACAAACTCGACTTGCAAAACGCTTTTGTAAACAATAAGTAAAATATTTGGCATATAGAATTCGGACCATTTGCGTAATAGACTAAATTTTGATCTAAACAAGTCTAGACAAAAATTTCATCACAGCTTGAAAGAGCATCACAAGATTAGTAATATTCCAAAGTTTCGTTGCGAAATTTGTAAAATGCGGATAATATACCCTTTCGAAGTTTGCAATTTTCAGTCTAAAATGACTGAAAATTGCAAATTTCGAAAGGCTATATAAATATCCGCATTTTACAACATTTCGCAACGAAATTTTGGAATATTACTAATTTTGTGATGCTCTTTCAAGCTGTGATGAAATTTTTGTTTAGATCAAAATTTAGTCTATCACACAAGTGGTCAATTGCATGACAAAAAGATGTAAGAAAATTTCCTGGAAGATATTTTGTTAAACATTTCCTGGAAACTGGCGCGGCCAGACATATTCCAGCACTGATACGGATCTATTTAATCGTGCTATAGCCAACTATTACAGATGATTTCCTTGAGGGGGTATTACATAAACTATGCATACAGCACGGTACAAAATAATTAAAACTATTATTAATGCATGAGATTAGTAATGTCACAATCGGAAGTTGCGCCTAGGATGAGCTCACTGAGCATGCGTAGATTATTAATGAGGCGATCTACTAAATTATTTCAAGATATAGTTGGCGAAACACCGCGGAAAAACGTCTGCGCATGCGTCCACCTTACCTGTAATAGTATTGCGAACTTGATGAGAAGCTGTTCCGAACGTTTCCGAAGGCTCAAAATGGCGGTTTTTGTTTTAGAAATTGATATTCAAATTCCCCGCCATATTTTCATAATTTGGTGCATGCGCAGACGTTTTTCCGCGGTGTTAGTTGGCGAAGTTTTCAGTTTATTATTTATTGGTAGAATTTTGAGATTAAGAAATGTTTATAGGTCCAAAACCAATATTAGGTGACTCAAGCATATTATTTAGAACACTTTAAACTTACGAAACTAAAAGCGCGCGAAAATTATTGACTGAGCCCACGATGCCATGAATAAATGCCCAGCGGCATTGCCATTTTTTCTGTGTAATTTTTGGTCGTGCTTGAAAAATGTAGCTTCTCGCACCTCTCCTAATAGGGAGCTTTAGATTTGACTACGAGTACGACTACATCGAGTACGAGATTTGATCGCGTGCGAGGAAATTACCGTAGTCGTTTTCGTTTCCATTCAAATGTTGCTTTTATAACAGTAAACAAACAACGAGAGAAAAAGTTTCATAAACTAAATCTCCTGCATACTAAAATCCCCCTACAAAACGTGTAAATAAGTCATAACATTAAAAACAGGCCAGATATTTAGTAGTAATAAATTATTTGCGCCGGATGAACGCTATATAAATGCTACAAATTAGTTTTGGAAAACAAAAAAAAGCCAACTTTCTTTGTTTTTTTGAAACGTCGTCGTGAGGACTGCGAGATTTCTGCACAATTTCGTACTCAGATGGGGACGGCTACGACTTTTTCGCGTCAGTACGAGATGGCGTAAGCATACAGCCTGCGTTTAGCTTGACGAATCTCGTACTCGTAGTCGTACTCGTAGTCAAATCTAAAGCTCCCTAATGACTTATTGACTGAGACAGTTATATTAGACTGACTTCATTAGTCATCCACTTGTTCTGAAAACAACGCTAATATCAGTGATTACTAGCTGCTTTCTAGACAATATATTCGCTTTTTGCCATGAACCAGAAATTGTGGAAACCTCTTTCTATATATGCCCACAGCGGCTATCTTTAAAATCGGGGAATGGGGGAATATCTCGGGAGTATCATATTCCCCCTTTTTAAATATCTTTGAAAGGAGTAATATCTCGAATATGCATGATATTCCCCGATATATATTCCCCCTTTTAAAGATCTTTAAAAGGGGGGAATATGATATTCCCCAAGATATTCCCCCGTTCCCCCTTTTAAAGATTAGCCTGCCAACAACACCAAGTATAGTAGATTAATCCAATATGATTGTCATTGGCTGTTTCATTTTAAAATAGCTTAGAAAGCGCCTGTTTGCAGGCTGAATCGTTAATCACACAAGATTCGTGCTATTTAAACAAGATAACAAAATTCAAGGTATAAAGATTTCGACCTTAGCTCAAGGTCATTGTCGAACCTATCTTGAGTTTACAAGATGTTAATATATGCGGAGTGTGTTTATTTCATCTTCTCGAGTTCTCGAGATTAACCGAAGGATTAAGCGAATCAACTATAAAGGCCGCGAGACACCGGACGCGATTCGACAACGCGGCGCGATTTTTCAGTTTTTGAAGTACTGTTTAAACGAGCAGGAGTGTTTTATTAGGTTTAAAGACACAAGCGCGCAGCGCGAGTGGCTTTAGACCAGGGCGCTTATATATAAGCGTCCTGCTTTAGACCTAATAAAACACGACCTACGAGTTTATTAAACTGCTTCAAACACGACTACAAATTCAATAGATATACCGCCTAATTATTAGTATTCTTTATATAAAAAATACTAATGAGGACACGACAACTATAGATACTGCCATATTAGTATTCTTTATATAAAGAATACTAGTTAGGAGTATTTTATCAGGTTTAAAGCCACTGCACGTGACATATTATGGTTGACATGGTTTGCCAATAAGCTTATGGGTTATTAATGAGTGTTTGAAAGTTTGTAAAACAGCCCAAATAACCTGAAAATGTTATAAATATTCGAAAAACTTAAACCAGGATCAAAGTTATCGGCCAGTGAAAATCGAAAAATCGCGCTGTGTTGTCGAATCGCGTCCGGTGTTTCTGGTTCTTGATAACCCGTTAATAAACGGGAAAAGATGCCAGGCTGCAGCGCTAAGCAAGAAAGTAGCTCCGATTATAAAACGTGAACTGATCCGAAACGATCTTCTCGAGGTGGTCTGGTTTAGATCGATCTTGCGGTTATCCACATTTGGCCAATATAACGGACGGCATTTCGAATCCACCTAAACCGCTATAGTATATGAACGCCCCCCAAATAAATTATATAGAGTGTTGCTTTGTTGGTCTTTAAGGTCTTTGAAAAGTCTTTGAATTGTATAGGAAAAAATGCAGAAACGTTTTAAAAGCCTTATAGATTTTAAAAGACTAGTAAATAAAGAAATTCTTAGACTTAGTAAATATTGATTTCTACGATTCCTCAGCTAATAAAATATAGATCAATCGCAGCAACATTTTCACAATCGAAGGCGTATTTTATGGACTAATTACTGGGTATAAAAATGGCGCTCATATATACAATCTTAATTTTTCAACAGCTGATTGCTAGCTCTCAAAGGTTTTTGAAAGTCTTTGAAAATAAGCAGAAAAATACTTTGAAAATCTTTTGGTGTTTTTTTTTTTTATTTGAGACTACGATCTCTGCTTGCATCTGATTTCGGCAAAGGTAGAGCTCTATATTTGTATCAATTCATTAGCTCTTATTGAATTATCAGTGCGGGACATATATAATACATGTTTTTACAAGGGCAAATTTTATCACATTAGAACCTCCGATCTGTACTAATCAGTGATTAGAACCGATACGTTTTGTGTTAAGGAATCACAGTACGTTATGTATTTCCCATTAAATTTTCGCGGCAGGTAGGAAAAGGCCGCTAATTAGACATAAATTGCTCGAAATTCGTCTCACATTTTACTTATACATGCATGCAAGCCATGCATGTTCATTATAATTACTTTATGATTGCAAAGGCGGCAACTCTTTCAAGACAGAGCCGCATACGGATGGCTTCTTAAAAACTCGATTTGTTTGCATCTATAGATGACGCAAAGCAGACGGGCGCAGCATTGAACCGTTGATTCAACCAACGTTTGATTATGGCCAACCTATAGGACTATACCCATGTACTGATATCATCTGTAAATTTTCATTCTGGTATAAAGAGCTTGGTTTCATTCTATTTCTTATATTAGCCGTATGACATTGTTCTTATACAATTTTTTCAGCGCTGTTCTTATATATAAATATATATATATATATATATATAAATATATATATATATAAATATATATATATATAAATATATATATATATAAATATATATATATAAATATATATATAAATATATATATAATGTATATGTATAATGTATATGTATATGTATATGTATATGTATATGTATATGTATATGTATATGTATATGTATATATATGTATATGTATATATATATATATATATATAAATAAATATATATATAAATAAATATATATATAAATAAGTATATATATAAATAAATATATATATAAATAAGTATATATATAAATAAATATATATAAATATATATAAATATATATAAATATATATAAATATATATATATATATATATATATATATATATATATATATATATATATATATATATATATATATATATATATATATATATATATATATATATATAAAACGCTAGATGAAAGGCCAGATGAAAGGTCTTCGGTCGAACCTTTTGAAGTAGTAAATGCATCCTATAAACGTATGCGGCATGAAGTTGTCCTTCAGGGCCCTTCAAGGCCAGATAGCGCTATTATCCAGCTGATAGTGAATTCTTCAAGTTTTCTTAAATTGGCCGTTTATTTGTATATACATGCAGACACGGCCTACAATAATACGATGTGTTTTCTTTTTTAGTACTTTTCCCGGCACAGACACAGCTTGTCAAGTTATATATATAAATAAAACCGCACTCAGTCAGTAAACTATACTGAATATTATTCTAGTATATAATACATATACAGTGTGTTCTCTCATCCAACTACAGCCACAATTATACCCAGCCAAATACTCTAGCTAGTAGCTACTTGTATATATAACCTATGTATTTATGTTTGTGTAATCTATGTAAATTTCTGTATTAATGTGCATGAATGTTCCAAAAGTGCATGTGAATATAAAGAATTATAAAGAAAAAAGTACAGACAACAGCCGACATACATGCGGTGTGTTTCATTTTTCAGTACTTTTCCCGCAGACACAGTTTGTCAAGTTGAAAATAGAACTCCACTCATGCACTCGGTAAAGCTAATATTACTCTATAGTATACATACACATACAGTGTGCTCTCTTTTCCAACTTTTGCCACAGTTATCCTGTCAAGTATATGCCGGATTACTCCACTTACTGAAACTCGGCAAAACTATATACTATGTCAGCGTTATATTCGGCGTATAGACAAGCCAAACTTTCAGATCATAACAGCGTGTTGTGACATCTCCCAGCACGATCGAACAGCATATATATGTATGGCATATGCATAAGTTGTGATATAATTAGAATTTCTGATAATTGCTGCGATATACTACTAGATGAATAGTTGACTTTCAAAATTATAAGAACACCGGTCTAATATAATATATATATATAATATATGACCCAATTATTTTGGAAGATAGAAAATGAAATAGAAATTGGGTTTCGGATGTATTGCATTTGTTGAAAATATTTAAAGTATTATTAGTGAATTAAAGTTATACAGTGGGATATTGTAAATTTCAATCTATCAGAAGCTTATCTAGATTATAACATATAGCGGTAATCCGGTTATCACAAGGGTCTACCCCACGTAATAAAGCTGAGCAGCCCTGAGAACGACGATGTGTATACACGCAAACGACACCGCGATGTCCAATATAATATACTGACCGCTTGTACTCGGAAGACTGGAAATAGCATTGTCTTCGCGAAGCTCTATGAAGCAAAAAGTGAACAGACAATTACAAGAGTGTAAACTCAGTGTAACTTTTTCTTGTCACATGGGAAAAGCGATGAAATTGCCGATCTTATTAAACCTTTAGCCGTTTCCTAACTGTAGTATATATTAACGCTTTTCCTTTCCTGCGTATTTACTCCTATTAATTGGCAGACATTTTCTTGCCATTTCCGTTAACATGCACTAATTGACGTTTGACAAGGTGTTCGTGCGTCAGGTTTTTGCTGTAGCATTTCGTAAAGAAAATTCGGTATAACTTCTACTTGTCGCAAGAAGGATACGGCAAAGAAATTCCCCACCTTACGACTTAACTAATACTGTAAGAGGATTTTAGTTTGTTTGTCATACAACACGCGCTTTTCGTCGTAAATAAGCCGACATAGAAGACATAGCTCTTAAACATTTAGGCGCGTGCTTCTACAAGAGTAAACGCTTTCTTTCCATATCCATACTCTATTAATTCCTGTTGTATACTGACCTTGCTAGCCATTTTACATTTTTGTAGATGCATACACAGGCACAACAAAACCCAAGGAATTAGTCTTGCCTTATAGCGATATAAATAATCGAAAAAACTGCTTTTGTAGTTTTCCAGCGCCAACCAAACCAACCGCAATATCTTATATCTAGCTACAGAAAGCACTCGAAAATTTTCGTTATTATTTTTATTTTCATAACAGACTATAGGGCCTACAGGGTTTTGAGGCGCCCTGCTGCTGACATTTTTTTTTGAGTTTCGAAACCGCAGGTGAAAATATACATTAAGATTAATGACGGCTATAAACATAAATGTCATGCATGTGAAACCGTTTAAGTACTGTTTAAAACACGAGCCGGAGTGCTTTATCTGCAGATGTAAAACACGAGAGAGCGCAGCTCGAGTGTTTCATATCTGATAAGGCACAGACTGCGAATTTTTTAAATGGCTTAAAAACCGGCACATCTGATATTGAGTATACATTGGCGAAGCTATTTTTAAAATAAACGTTGTCTAAGCCGAGAAAATCCAAGTTAAAGTTTACATAAATTAACACGATTTTTATCACATATAAAACCCCAACACGGCAGTGATTCCTAATTTGTCTTTTCCTCATGAATTATGGAGTTTTTCAGTTTTAAAAAAAGAATAAACAGTTATAGGAGAGGCTTTTTGCAGAAATGGGAGTATATTTTTCAAAAGCCATTTTTTTCTTAGTTAATATACAAACGTAGCAATAGCACCCCCCCCCCCCCCCATATAACACAATGTTGAGTAGAACCATAGTTATTGAATGAGGGGGAGGGGGGGGGGGTTAAATGTTTCACAAAATAACGACTGTGTAGTTTCTATATATTAATTAAAGAGGGGGACATTGGGATTTACGGTATGGCGGTATTAGCTTATTTTTCTTACGGTATTTCGGTATTTTCCTTGAAAAATTGCGGTATTACGATATTGGAAATCTTGCGGTACACGGTATTTACAATTTGGACTCAAAAGCTGCGGTAATTGACAAAATTTGCTTGCGGTATTACGGTATTGAGTACCCCCCAATGCCCCCTCCTTAAATCTAAATGGTTCGATCGAAGGGGGATATCACTAGCTGATTTAAATCACGCATATACATCTTCAGAAAAAACCACACTTATCGACAATGCATGCGGGATGGGAATTTGCATGCCATGCAGTTAAGCTTCCATCCAGATAAGTAAAGGTTTATATTCAAAACCATTTGCGCAGTATTGCAGATTACAATCTTAATAGGAGCTTAAACACGCGAAGATTTTGTCAACAAGGATCGGGAGTCTAATATCGTTCGGCACGCGATCACGCCTTACCCTTCCGCAAAAGGGCTTTAGAGTCTGATTGTTCACACGGGAAATCGTATGCGGTTAGCGTGAAAATTCGGCCAGTTTCATGTCTGCCCTTCATGTGGCCCCCTATATTCACGACGTCAGACACAGCTCACCGCAGGATTTTCAGTTCGAACAAATAGAACCTTTTTAAGTGGTTTGTTTTTGCGGAACTGCCGAAACAGTAAAGCCGGTTTTCCACTATAGGCGGAATTTTGCGCGCGGAGCGGAATTTTTCTTTGTCTTGTGATTTCTCGGGTGGAACTAATTGGAAAAGACAAAGAAAAAATCCGGTCCGCGCGCAAAATTCCGCCTGGTGGAAAACTGGCTTAAAGGCCGGATTCCACGAGGCGGAATTTTTCGACCGAAACGAAATTTCTCTTTGTCTTTTTACAATTAGTTCTGCTCGAGAGCTCATAAACAAAGAGAAATTTCGATTCGGTCGAAAAATTTCGCCTAGTGGAAAACCGCCTTAAGTACCTGAGAAATCACAAGGCAAAGAAAAATTCCACTCCGCGCGCAAAATCCTGCCTGGAAAACCGGCTGAAGGGCGCGTTTCCATGCTGCATGCGATTTGTCGTGTACGATCCCGTATTCTGACGTGTGTAATCGAATAAGCACGCGTGAAGTGGTTGCATTTCACGTTTCGCCATAAACTAAACTGAATTAAGAGGGTCCAGAGGGATTGATTTGTGGCGTCAGACACGAAAAATCGCAGCGTGTAAACCTATACCGTGATCGCGTGCCTTGCGATATCAGCCCTCTGATCCCTGTTGATATAAGATAGATACAATTTTATTTATATACAGGGTAATTCCTTCAGGATAACAATACTGGTATCAGTACCGGAGCCCTGTAAAAACACTGGTATCAGTATATCGAGTCCCTGTAAAAAGACCCCTCTGATGCTATCAGTTTTTCATATCAATTCCATCTGTAGTTTACATTATCAAAGTTATGTGATCACATGCACTGATGCATAATCAAAATTTGCATAGGTAAATTCTATGTTTTGAAGGATTTGTAAGAAATGATTGAGTTCCCTCAAACATTTCTTACAAATCCTTCAAAACGTAGAATTTACCTAAGCAAAATTCCTACTGTGATCACAGAAACTTTGATACTATATATAACTGCTATATATAGATTATAGGCTTTAGAAACACGATATATTTAAGCCAGTATACGACAAAAGGCACAAAAACCGGCATTAGTGTAGATCTCGTACGTGTACGAGAATTGCTAGAAACTGACATATACTTAATTTGATTAAAGGAATTCTGTTTCATGACTTTGATACCATACAGTATAAGACCCCGCGCGTACATAAGAATCTACTATAACAGGTTCGTATATTAAATGGTGCTTATCGGTGAAATTAGGCTAAACAGGTTCTGAATAGGTTCTTATTTTTAAATCTATATATAAATGGTGCTTATCGGTGAAATTAGGCTAAACAGGTTCTGAATAGGTTCTTATTTTTAAATCTATATATAAATGGTGCTTATCGGTGAAATTATATATAGGCTAAACAGGTTCTTAATATGTTCTTATTTTCTAAAGAAAAAAAGGGACTCAGTTTCGCCGTTGATGTGGATACAGTTATTTTCTGTTGATGTCGGCATGCATACAGACATGCATGTTGTTTAATTATTATATATGTTATGACATGCATATCCCGGCAGGATTCTGACTTCTGGGGTCATTTTCATTACTTTGTCTTTGTGAAGAGTTTATTTTCTTTGATTTATATAAATGTTTTGTTTCAACTCTTAGAGTGATAAAAATAAAATAACAACCTGTTTGAAATTTTAGCCTAAACAGGTTCTTGTGCATGATAAAAGGGGCCTAAATAAGCAATTTTAGCCTAACAGGTCAGTTAAAATCTAGATTCTTATACGCGGGGTCATATACTGTATCGCACATTGGCGATACCATTACGCTATACCATATCACAGATGATATGTATGGATTTCCTAAATTGCCCATAACAATTCCATGTATTTTAAAAATGTTCTTTTTATTCTTTAAGAAGCATTATTATGCAATTTAAAGTATGGAGAACGCCAACGTAAAATCAACGGAAATCAAACTCTGCGAAATAAATGTTTGTATAGCAATCTTACCTTATTTTTGCTGTTAACCATGAATGACCAGCTACAGGACATAAATTATGTGTGTTTAATTAAAGGGCTCACTATAGACATAGACATAGTTCTAGAAAGTTTCGTTTGTGACCAATTCTGTAAAAGTTGCATCGCCATCGATTATAATTGCTTTATAAGTTTCGTATAACTAATTTCGACGGCATTCTGCATCATATAGGCATAGCGCTCGTGTAAGGAAGCAATAAAAATTTAAAAATCCTACGTTTTGTTATATGTGTTGAAGATGCATGACTAGAAACTGACACAAACACAGTCCCCCTTCGGGAATCTTTCCTATAATGTAATGGTAATATGAACCCCCCTAAATTAACTCTAGATCTAGCTTCACTCAGTCGGTAATTCCATGATTGATGAACTCAAACTTTACTGATTTTATATACTTAAAGTCGCTTAATCGAGATTCCAAGGTGCTGCGTGCATCGTTTCTTGAGCTGCTCAATTCTATACTATCTGCTGCACTATATATGCTATATAGTGCAGCGCAGTACTGCACTTTCGATCCTATTCCTATATACTGCACTTTCGTTCCTATTCCATGGCATATAATATTATTAATATAGACCATAATATTCATTTGTTTAATTTCATTATAATACATATCTATTTATATATGAGACTGTAAGTTGTGCTTAATATATCGGGTCTTGACCAACACTACAGATATCGACATAAACATATCAAATGGACTTTATATTTGAGTATATACTAGTTAAATATCAGACCCTTTACTCTACTCGCATTGTCGTATATGTATAGTATATTATAGAATTAGAACATTATATTAAAATGATCATTTCCGCTTAAATGTAGAAGTCACTAATCAGGTTTTTTAATTAAATTAACATGATGTAAGATGGCTTTACTTGACCAATCGATCAAACTTACTTGATTGAAGTAAAAATCAATATTTGATATTCACTCTTCTTCGTCTTCTTCAATTCTATCAGTCACTGGAATGTATATGAGCGCTTTAAAATGATCTTCTGTCAACGGGCTACTTGTCTTTAAACTTCACTAGACTTCCAGACTGTTTCAAAGTCGGCTTCTCGATGAATCTTAAAATAAACGTTTAAGGAAGCGAGCTGATCTTAATTTGTTGTATTGCAACGCAACATCCGTCATGCTATATATTTACATAAGGATTTTCGAGGCAAATTGACGCCCAATGTTATGTATTACCTACTCCAAGAGGAACATATATCGTTATCTGAACTATGTCTATGCATGTGTTATGTGTTATATCATTATGCGGAACTGCAACGTCGCTTGTGAAGTGTGTAAAATATTCCTCTTAAAAATGTCAAAAACACCAGGAAAAACGGCAAGGCCTACGTAGACAACATTCCAATATCTCTAGTAGGTTCCCGAATTTTCCACACCTAATGGAGTTTGGCCAATTTCATAATTAACTTATACTATTAATAACATTTTAATATCCTCTTTTTATACAAGTCACATGTTAAGAAATAAGAGGGGAAATTTCGTCAATTTTCCTACTATGTAGAATTCAACAAATTTCAATATCTGCATGGCAAGTCTGTCCTACCTGAGTTACTTTTTGTGCTGTTTGCCAGCTTTTGCAAATACTGTACTTTTTGGGAGGTATTAAATGTAGCCTAATGTATACGAAGTGATATAGAATTGATCTAATTGGTTAGTTCATTATGTGCCTTTCACCTCAGAGTTCCATTGGCTGCAATATATAGTTGTCTGATTCTAATTTCGCCCCGTACCGTGCATCTGAGAAGGTTGTTTCCATCGCTTATCAGTAAATTTAATTCTGAGCCGGGAGCCGACTGGCTACATGAATACAGGTATAAGAGTCGGGCCAGATCACTGCATGGTATAGATTAGAGTTCCAATATCTATAGTAGGCAGACTCTTCTTATGCAAATCACGTTTCGATATCCGTTGAGCTTGGCCGAGTTTACAAATTAATATTCCATTTATGATTGATCCTCTTGCATATGTTATCCAATGGCATGAAACAAGGGCACTGTAATATCTGCCAAGATTTTCAAGAGGTTATTTAAATTAAGGGGTTATTTTCAACCCTTAGTTGAAAATAACCCCTTATAATTAGTTGGGTTATTTTCAACCCTTTCAAAATTAGCACGCTCACACTCAAAGAGTGGAGATTCAATCTGAGCTTCCCCTGAGTGTCAATGCTGTTTTTGAATAGCTGGAGGGTTAGTCTCGTTCCTTACTATGTGACTACTCACCCTCCAGCCATTGACACTCAAGGGAGGCTCCGGTAGATTGAACCTCCACTCTTTGAGTGCATGTGCTTTTAGAATACGCGCGCCATTTTGTAAAGGGTCAATGTGCCCTTTCTTGCATGGTGTTGTATTGACTATCACAATATTTAATCATAATTTCTTTCGAGTTTGTCTGAGGCAAGCACCCACAGAACACCCCCTATTTTCTATAAGACTTATAGGAATGTCATCTCTTGCATTCTGAAAGCAGTTTTAACAAACATAATGCATAATAAAGGTGAAGGAGAGCTGCTCTCTTTGCTTGGAGAAGTCACTTCCAGAAATATCTGTTTTCTTTTTTGAATTTGAACTTGAAGTTTTCCTGTTTTAAATTTTCAGTTCACGGAAATTCTTACCAAGTGAGTCATAGCGAGTTATAACGTGAGAGTACGTCCAGTTTTAGTCTGTCACCCCACGCAACACGGGGTTTTGCCACTGAGGGTTTGGCAGACTACCAATGAACCGTTTCCTTTCGTGGCAACACTAAAACAATATTACTGGACATCTAGCCCTTACCGGACGTTTTTTATGGTACCTTACCATTACCGTTCATGCAGACAGCGCGATTCGGATCGATCCGAAATCGATTCAAAGTCGATTCGATTCAATAATCATGACTTGTAGTCAGCCAGATAGGAGGGGAAAACTCAACCGATCAGAGAACAATTCCATTTTGCCTTCATCTTGTGCTTTTACAGTCAAAGCGGAAATACCTGCACACTTCCGCTTGTATATAGTTTGTTCTGCATGTAGGCTAGTAATGTTTTTCGGCAGTAGCTGCTGAAAAAATATTTGTTCAAAAATCGTGTATTAAGATATGACTAATAGCTGTTGTGGAATTTATTGATTAGCCAACGCATATTCCATCCAATGGCAATGCTAACAAACAAACGTAAGTCAAGATTAAGCGGTTTCTTCATGTCAGTAAATTTTCCCGAGCTTCTATAGAAATACAGTAGTACACAACAAACTACAGACTACAGTAACTAAAGTGTGCAGGTATTTCCGTTTTGACTGTAGTAAGTAGTAGTACATTTCTGTATGTTGGCGGCGTTCAAATGTCTCGTGGGTTCCTGCCAACATTATTAAACTCCTAGTTTTTTGTAAGCTTTCTAATGCTGCAAGTTATTTTTTCTATAAATGAACCTGCAATTTCACGTTTTTAACGATATAGGAGTTTAATAGGAAAATCGAAGAAAACCGTGTTGAACGCTGTCGACATACAGAAATGTACTTATCAGCCTTAAACTACAAGATGAAGGCAAAATGGAATTGTCCTCCGATATGGTAAGCTTTTATTAATTTTTTATCCTCCATCTGCCTGACTGTTGTGTATGTATATTATTACGATGAAAGAAAAATCGGTGGGGACATTGGTGGCCATGTATTGTTTCGATGTACTAACGAAGTTTGATCAATTATAACTAGCATAATGTTTGTGATGTTTCTGTGAGTGTGCATCCACACCGGGCAAGCTGAAAAGTTTGCCATGACTACGGTGGGAATCGAATCCGCGACCTTTGGGATACTAGTCCAATGCTCTGCCAACTAAGCTACAAGGTCAAGTCGGTTCGGAATCTAGTTCTTTCGATATCAATGTATTCTAGATATGACTTTTTTATAAATAAAAAAACATATTCAACCGGAATACATAACATAAAAAAAAAGTTATATCTTGAAGTATAATTCTAATTTTTAATCTAGTCTCTGTGAATTTAATATGTATTGTATTCTATGTACCACCAGTATTAGTAGCTCTGTTTGAATAACGTTTGTTTCTTCGTTTTTACAATTATAATATCAACAATCAAAATACAACTAAATATTACAAGATCAATAATATATTACTATATGATAAAAGCTGTACAAAATTTAAACATGATCAACATTATGAAAGTTACCAACACTTCCCAACGACATCATTGTCAGTGAGTTGGCAGTCCCGGCTCGCGACCTCGCTTGCCACTCCCTCTTCAGAACTCGAACGAAAGCATTGCGAAATTCCATATTCAGCCAAAAATATATGACCGGGTTCATGAATGAATTACAAAATGTCAAAATTTTTACCATTGCGCCAAAGATGTCTTTGTGTCGTTGAAACGAGCCGTCGAACCACTGAGGGTGAATGCTTTGAAAAAAATAGTAAAATGTGGATGGACCCCAACAAATGATAAACACGCCAATTACCACAGAAAAACTGATAGTTGCTTTTCTTTCTATTTTCCATTTTTCTGCTCGTATCACCGTTTTTCTTCGAAGGTGATTTGGCGTTGATGACTGAAATATAAATTATAGAATTTAGGGAAAGATGGTAAACAATACTAAACTAAGTTTTTAGATGTAATAATTTTAAATCTGAAAATGGGGCGTTTTAAAAATTTCATTCAGTCCTAGGACTTTTATCCAGACCTATAGGAGTTGATCAATCTTCATCCAGTCCTAGAACTTGATCAAACTTCATCCAGTCGTAGGACTTGATCAAACTTCATCTATATTCATCTAGGACTTGATCAAACTTCGTCCAGTCCTAGGACTTGTTCAAACTTCATCCAGTCGTAGGACTTGACCAAACTTCATCCAGTCTTAGGACTTGATCAAACCTTTACCAAGTCCTAGGACTCGATCAAACCTCATCCAGTCGTAGGACTTGATCAAACTTCATCCAGTCATAGGACTCGATCAAACCTCATCCAGTCGTAGGACTTGATCAAACTTCATCCAGTCCTAGGACTCGATCAAACCTCATCCAGTCGTAGGACTTGATCAAACTTCATCCAGTCCTACTGTCCTACGTCTGGGTTAGCCCATTGAGTGACAAAGCTCTCTCCTTGATGAGTATAATCGTCTGGCATTTGTCAGAGTAAAATATGGAGAATTTTGTTTAAGTTTTGCGTTCAATACATCGAACGACAAACGGCGGGAAAAGAAAACGCCACAAGGCAATAAAGAGTAAATAGTCCTTTGTTTTAAAACTGTAATGCATAACTATTCTTGTGACATAAGACAAAAGTATGAAACGAAGAAGCTAAACGAAAGTTCAGCCCTGTCGTTGCCCGGAAACGCGAAGCTTGAGCTCCTTAATGGCGCCAAACCACAAACGGCAAACTTCATACCGTATTTAGAGGTCAACCGTTACATGTTCGAAGTCATGACAATTTGATCGAATTAGAACAAATGCGATTTTTAAAAGTCTGTTAGTAGTCTGCCGTAAATGTCAATCTGTAACCCTCTGTTATTTTCTCCCTATAATTAAGTAGTAATAATTATACATTAGTAGTAATTACCATTTAGTATTACTTATTAGCTACTTACGTATTTTTCGTTATGTCCAAACTCGCTCAACGTCTTCCAGTAAATATAGCAATGCGAGGTAAACATGAATACAAACGGCGTGAGCACATTCACAGATATTACCATCAAACTCCAAGTGGAAGTGGGCGAATTTCTGCATTCCATATCTTTCTCATTACGCCAGTAAAATGGCATCGTGGAGACGATTAACGCTTCGACCCAACACGCAACGAGCACGCAAATCATAACGCGCGCACGAACAGAATTCCGATACTTGAGCGGATATTTAATATTGAGAAATCGTTCGATACTGATGGCCATTAGGCTCATTATAGATGCATACTCGGTGAAGAAATAGGAGAATCGGTAAAGATCGCAAACCAATCGGCTGTCGATGTCTTCCGACGCTGCGCTCTTCTTCGTAATGTACAAAGGCATTGCGGTCACCGCGCACAACACGTCCGCCAATGCGAGGCTAATTATGGGAAAGTATTTTACTTTGCGCAGATGCGGTTGAACGTAGAACGCGAATAACACCAAAGCATTTCCAAAAATTGTGAATACCATTACCGCAGCTATAATAGCGCTGGTCAAGTCCGTGTTAAGAGCGAGTCTATCTTGTGTGTCATTTTTGGGAAAGATTTCGTCGGATGATGTGTTTGGGGAACCATCCA